ACTAGCATGACCTCAATTCTACCTTACAAATCGGATTAGACCAGAACATGCACACTGCTACAGATAAGAGCCCGCAACACGGGGAATCCAGGATAGATAAACCCCTCAGGGCCAACAATGAGAGCAGAGATACCAGGAGGATAAGGGGAAGGTGGGGGGAGAAATGGGGAATTGACCACAAGGATCAACATATAACCCCTCCCAGGGGGGTGAATAACAGAAAAGTGGGTGAGGGGCGATGGAGGACGATGTAAGATGCAAATGTAATAATCTATACCTTATCAAGGGTCCGTGAGGGAAGGGGACGAAATGGGGAGCTGATATCAGGGGCTCAAGTGGGAGGGAATGCTTTGAAAATGATGATGGCTGCATATGTGCAAATGTGCTTCACACACTGGATGAATGTATGGATTGTGATAAGAGATGTAAGATCTCCCAATAAAATATTTAATAAAAGAAAGAAAGAAAGAAATCTCTTAGGTTATGAAAATGTTCTACAAGTATACTTTGGTTGAGTTTTCCACAACTCATATTGCTAAAAATTATTGCATTGTATACTTAAGCCAAGTTCATTTTATTACATTTAAGTTATACTTCAGCAAAGTGGTTAAAAATTCTACATGAATTTTTAAGTTTACTTTCTGAAACTGCTATTTCTTTCATTCCTGATGGTTCTATTAAAGAAATTTCTAAACTTTTCCCTCACCATTTCTACTCTGCCATCAATTTTTAACTTCCAGTCCATTTTTAAGCTTGTAAAAAACGAACGCTCCAAACTCTGATTCATTTTATCTATATAATCAAGTGGCAATTCTGATAATACGTTTCTTTCATTCCTTAAGAACCCAATGAGTTGATGTAATCAGACAAAATTAATGATCTAATGACTCAGACTGGAAGACTACAAAGCTGTCATGATTCTAAAGCCCCTAAGTCTGATGAATAAATAAAAATATCACCTGTCATATGAAGTGACTTATACCTTCTCTGTATGCACAGTATAAACCATTGTCTAGCTCTGGCAAGATTACCTACTCCACACCCTAGGTTTTTAACTCCTTTTTTGCCCTTTTCATATCCATTTGCTTGTTTGTTTCTTTGTTTGTTTCCTCCTCGGGTATTCTCAAGGAAATCCAGCACCAAGCTCTCCTCAGAGCTCAGGAAGAAGATTGCCTTCAACACACTGATTCCTCAAAAACATCTAACCTATGCAATAAGATAGCTTTGCTCCATTCTCTGTGATGAATTTGCCCTTTTGAGGAGAGAACTCATGGAAGACACATACCAGCTATTTCTCTCTCCACAGATGCCCAGGCACGTTCCCGATTCGTCGCCCTTCCTCCTTTCGCTGTTCCATTTCCAAGCTCCACTGGTGGTTTTCAGAAGTCACTGGCTCGGGCAGTGTTGGATCCACAGTGACCCGGATGGTAGGTTGTGTTCCGTCATTATTCCTAGTCAGTCTTTTTAAACAGGAGGAGAAAAGGCAGGGGGGTGTATTTCTATGTGTTCTATAAGCAAGCCTTGAAATGATTAAGATGTGCAAAAATGTAGTGCTAGATTTTAGGTTTCACCTTCATTCCAAGCATCTTCTTTCCCATATGCCCCTAAATGTGAAATGCTGAGAAAATGTAGTTAGAATTAAATATTCATTATGTTAATGAAAGTGCATGTCAGTTGATTTATAAAAAGCTAAATCCTCATTGTTTGGCCTAACATTTATGAAGAAGCTTCAAAACATTCATGGAGAAAAAAAAGGAATGAAAAGATAATGGAATTTTCCCACCAACTTTGGAAGTCCCATGCATTTAAATGGGGGGGAAAAAATCAAGTCAGAGTCAGTTCAACAAATATCTATGGAACACCCACTATTTTACAGGCCTTGTGAGTATATATAGGATCAAATAAGGCCCCAATTTCTGCCTTCAAAGAGTTCATGAGCTGGTGGGAGAGGATAAACCATAACTAAATCTGTCAGACTTACTTAATACTTTAAAAATATTATGGAAAGAGAGGAGGTGACTGAGAATAGCTGGAGAAGGTTTCAAATAGTTAAGCAAAAAGAAAGTAACACTTCAACTGGAGGAGTTTGGGGTGAGGGGCAGAGGGAGAACCCTGGGGAAGAGAGCAGAGTGACAGGTACCTGAAGTGTCAGCTGAGGCACAGGGGAAACCAGCTACAGTCTTGTTTATGATCATACTAGCTAACTCTTATGAAACACTTCCTATGTGCTATGTGGGAACCCTGGTGGTGCGGTGGTTACGCATTGGGTAGCGATGTGCATGGTGGACAGTTCAAAACCACCAGCAGAAAGACTGGGCTTTCTACTCCCGCAGTCACACTCTCAGAAACCGCTGAGTCAGCATGGACTGCAGGGCAATGAGTTTGGTTTGGGAAGTAGAATTCAGAGCCCTCACCTCTATTTATTTAATCCTCACAACAAACCTGGGAGGAACGTATGATGATATTCCCATGAGTATAGAAAAGTCACCAGCTCATGGTTCCATAGACAGCTAAAAGCTAAGGAACCAGGATTTTGAAATCCATAAATAAAAAGACTAAATTCTGCCTCACCCTCAAACAGAGTCACTGCATGAGCTGTTTCACAAGTGTGTGAACCACTTCTCTCATTCATTCCTAAGACCTCCTTCAAGGCTGGACGCAAAGGCTACCTTCTTCTCTGCAAAGCCTTTCTGATCCTCCCAGCTGAAGAGAATCTTTCTCCTCTAAACTGCAGGGCATGGTATCTGTATCATTACGTCTTCTCTGATTTTTGTGCCTGGCATTAGAGATTTTATTGGGTACATTATTGCTTTTGTAGGTCCTTTAGTCTGATCGATTTTCTATTCTCCATAGCTCCTAGGGCAGTGACAGGCATATAAACTAACTAAACCTACACAGCATTTATTCTTTTTTTAAAACAGTTTTGTTGGCACTTCATCCACAGATTATACAATTCAGTAGTTCAATTATGTCAAGAAGAGTTGTACAATCCTTACCAGAATCGGTTTTAGAGCATTTTCTTCTTCCTTGTACTCATTGTTATTTGTGTATTTTCCACAGCGTTTATTCTTTTGTAGGGCACTGTTAAGCATTTTCTCACAAAACCTTTACAGCAACCCAATCCATTCCTTCAGCAGTTATTTTTAGGTCCTGCTGTGACAGACAGAGGAGCCCTGGTGGCACTGCGGTCACAAGAGTTAGTTGGGCTGCTAACTCAAAGTTCAGCAGTTTGAAACTACCAACCAGTGTAGAGGAGAAGGACAGGGCAATTCTCCCTGTCCTATAAGGTCGCTATGAGTCAGCATCGATTCAATGACAAGTTGAGTTTGGTTTTGGTAACAGATAAAATAACTGAAGCATTTTTAACTCCATTAGCAAGACAAACATGGCCCCTGCCTTCAAGGCACTCAGCCTGGGAAGGTTGGTACTCTTGGTACGTCAGAGTTACAGTGATGAGGATAAGGGAGGCTCTCAGAAAGGAGGTCATGTTTGCCTAGAATCCCACAGCAAACAGGTGGCAGTGTCAGGATTCAAACCCACGTCTCCAGATTTGAAATTCCAGACAGTACGCACTTAACCACTATATTCTAGAGCGGTGGTTTTCAGCCTTCCTCATGCCGCCACCCTTTCATACAGTTCTTCATTGTGTGGTGACCCCCCAACTATAAAATTATTTTCGTTGCTACTTCATAACTGTCATTTTGCTACTGTAGACCCCCAGAGGGGTCGCAGGTTGAGAACTGCTGCTCTAAAGGAAGTGCTTGATGCACAGTTATTGAAGAAAACAGTTTCCCTCATAAAATGCAAAAATACCCCCAGGGATTCAATGAAAGGTTTCATTTGAGGGTAGTTTTTCGGTTGTTCTCTCTTGAGGAGTGGCAGGTGGAGGCTGTAGTAGCCTAACACTCACCTGGTAGTTCAGACCCGCTAACCCAGCAACCTTGAGGGGAGTTGCCCAGGACTAGTTGAGGAGACTAGCTGAAAACTGAGGACTTCTTTCAGCATGTTGTGTGTTCCTTAAAGTGGCTCCACCGAGCAGTGTCCCCTCACCTGGTCCCTCCTGAGCATCGATGCCTTGATGTATGCAAGGTGTTGAGTCACCCAAGTAGTGAGTCTAGAATTAGTAGGAATGAATTGTGCATAACCCCTTAATTAAAATATGGTACAATTACCCTTGAAAGGAGAAGAAACTTTAGAAGCTCAATTCCAACTCAGAGTAACCCTTTAGGGCAGGGTAGAACTGCGCTTGTGGTGTTCCGAGAATGTATCTCTTGCCCCTGAGTAAAAAGCCTTATCTTTCGGCTGGGGGTTTGAAACTGGTGAACGCGCTAACCCCTACATCAATCCCAAAATGCGTGAATACACACTTCTCCCTGGCGAAGAACACATTATTCCTCCTGGGTGGTGACGAATCCGCTCTAAGGGGATTCCTGGAGATCTTAGACTACAAACGCCCCGTGTGCCACAAACACCGACTTCTAGTCGAAAGCCGCCTGCCACACCGCCGGCCCGTGTGGCCCTCTCCGAATGTCACTTTGCTAGCCCATCCTAACCGTGTCCTCAAACCAAAGTGGCGTCGAGTCGGGATACCCAACAAGACAAGCCAGGCAGAAAGAAAGCGGCGCCTGGAGCCACTCGGCTTTCGTCCCCACTTTTTCTTTTTTTTGCTCACCAGGAGACCCAAGGGTTTGACACCAGAGACGTCTACGAGAGTAGCGGAGACGAGCCCTCCGATGAGGTCCCGGCCGAGGGGCCCCCACAGCGCGCGCCCCGGAAAGGACTGAGCGGCCACCACGCCCCGGGCGCCCGGGCGTCCGCCCCGCCCCCTGCGCTCCACTGTTGGCGGGACAACGGGCGCGCACCAGGCGGCGGCACCGGGGGGCGTGGCCGGACCCGGGGCGTGGCCTGACCCGGGGGCGTGGCGGAACCCGGGGGCGTGGCGGGCGCGGGCCGCCCCACCCCGCCTCCCGCCAATTGTCTACTGCGCCGGCGCCAGCCGTTCTCGGCCGGGTCTCCCCTAAGCGATCTGAGCGCATGCGCCCGGATAAGTGGGTGAGGGGCTCCCTCCAGAGGGGAAGGGCGACGGGGACGGCAGTGGCAGGCGCTCTCCGCCTCACCCCCGGCCTTGCGCCGAGTGGAGCGCGCGCTAGCCGCGGAGCCGGGAGCAGGGGTCGCCCAGGATGGGAGGCGGGCGCGGGGGAGGGGACGTGGGGGGTCCGGAGCTAGAGCAGGGTCGCGGCGGCCCGGCTGACCACCGGTCCGTGTGTCTGTGTGTTTGCGCCCGCCCAGCGAGCCATGGAGGACTGCCTGGCGGCCGCGGCGCTAACCGGACTGGACCGACGAAGTCTGCAGCGTTCGGCCAGGCTGGGCCAAGAGGTGTTGGAGCGCGCCAAGCGGAGAGCGGTGAACTGGCACTCAGTGGAGCCCCCCAAAGGCAGTGCGACGGGTCCTGCCCCGGAGAGACCGCTAGCACCCGACCCCCAGCGCCTTCCCCTAGCAGAGGTGAGGGTCCCTCGTGGCGGGAACCTGCCCACCCAGTGGGGCAGCTTACTGGAGACCAGGGGCGTGGCCGGCGCACGGCAGCGTCGGAACGAAACTATCCTTGCCTGGAAGGACAGTGAACGCCCAAATCGCGAATTGAAACACCCTTGAAAACTATACATTTACGTATCCTCACTGGCTAGCTACAGGGTGGTTGGTTACTCACTGGGGCCAGAGTGGTTGGTTACTCTTAAAAATCAAAACACAAAAGACCCTGACATTTTAATTACCATTTGACATTGGAGGAAAGCTCTGAAATATACCTGGAGAAATTGCTATCATCTATGGATTTCGTGTATAGTTGGAATTCCTTCTCAGTAAAGCCTACTGACTGACTTCAACCTAATCGAGGCCATTCCCAAAATGGCTTCGTTCTTCAAGGGAACTCCTTGGCCTCACTCGTGCTTCTGGTTCTTCCAAACAGAGACAAGAAAGATTCCCTACCCTCAGTGCATCCTTCCAAACAATGGCTGAGTTCATGGACTATGCTTCAAGTCAGTGTGGGGTAAGTGGGGGATGAGCCTGCTGACGCAGCCGAAGAGCCGCTTTAAAATGTGCATCTTTCTGTAAATTTGGGGACAACCTGAAGATGATGTGTCTATCCTGCATTGAATGACAATTGTGATCAGATAAGGGTCTAAAAATCAAAACCAAACTCACTGCCAGTGAGTCGATTCCAACTCATAACCACCCAACAGGGCAGGGTAGAACTGCCCCAGTGGGTTTCGAGACTACAACTCATTACATGATTCGAAGGCCTGTGGTTGTCTTGAGGGGCAGCTGGTGGTTCGAACTGCTGACCTAATTGTTAGCAGCCCAACCATGAAACCACGACATTACCAGTGGCTGTCTAATGCCTTTGGTGTTGTTAAAGAGCCCTGGTGACATAGTGGACCATGTCTTGGGCTCCTAACCACAAGGTCAGCCGTTTGAACCCACCAACCACTCTGGGAGAAAGATGAGGCTTTCTGCTCCCATAAAGATTGACAGCCTCGAAACCTGAAAGGGGCCGTCCTGCTCTGCCCTATGTGGCCGCTGTGAGTCAGAGTGGACTTGGTGGCCGTGAGTTTGGTTGATAGCTGGGGGCAGTGTTACAGCCCCGAACAAGCACAAAAGGTCTGTGCCCTCAAGGAGGCTTATTTGCTAAATTCCAAAGGAGTCAAGACCCAATTGTTTTGTCATTTTGAACTCTAGCAAAGTTTAAAAAGCAAACCAACCCAAGGGTCACTCTAAACGGGAACTGAGTTTCTGAAACAAAATCCCTACATTAGATCTTAAACTCAAGGCCCACTGTTCCCGGTAACGTCATTTGTAAGCATGCCCCTGTCGGTCTATGTGGGTTGTTGAAGACAGAGATGGTCATGATAGGAAGCAGGTGGAGTATCCAGGTTGGAGGTGGGAGTATGTGACATCATGAAAGGACCAGGTTCCCAGCAATCATCTACTGTTGTGTCACTTTACTTGCTAAAATGCCTTCGGCCTCTTGATCTCACCTTGACCGTCTGTAAAAGGAAGATTGCCGAAGTTCTTTTCAGCCCTACAGCTCACGTCTTTGGTTTCCACTGAGGTGAACACCAGAATACTGCCCTAGACCGGACGTAAGGGACAGGTGGGGGGCTCTGGTACATTCATGGAAATGGGTGAACGTAGGTTTTAGGGTCCCTCTTCCTCTTAGAGAGTTTTTCCAAACCATACGTGTGGATCCTCTTTACGAGCTTTGGAGCAGAGTTGAAGCAGACCAGCCAGCATACAAGGACAAGGAAACCACTTGCCTCGAAGCTCCTCTGTCTCTCCTGGGAATTACAGCTGACGGGTTTCCCTCTGGAGCCCTGGTGGCGTAGTGGTTATGAGTTGGGTTGCTAGCCAGAAGGTCAGCAGTTCCAAACCACCAGCCTCTCTGAGGGAGAATGAGGGGCTTTCTACTCCTTTAAGGAGTTACAGTCTCGGAAACCCGCAGGCCCAGTTCTACACTGCCCTCCAGGATCGGCTGCCCTGAGTTGGCATCCGCTCGATGACAGAGTTTGGTTTGGTTGGTGGTGGACTCTTGTAGCATTAGCATTGCCCAGCCTCGTGGGGCTGGTTGTAAGGGTGCCGGCAGATAAATGGAGAAAGAGAAAGGCTTGTTTCTGCCCCACTTCTTGGTTTCCTAAGTTCAGACCTTAACTCCCTAACCTTTCTACATCTTTGATCAAATGCCGGTGACTCCGAAGAACAGGAGTCCAGCTAATGAGCTAGGTTTCGGAGATGATTTTTATGATCTTATTTGTTTAGTGGAGTGGTTTTAGAAAAATGCCTAACTCAAGCTCGACTGTGAGTGATTAACTTTAAAAAAACAACAACCAACTTTGGTTCATGGCTCAGTAAAAGGAATAATATTTGTCTTTGGTTTGAGGCTTAGCAAATCGGTGTTCTTGACTCTGGTTTTCAGTTGATACTCCAAGTCTCTGTTGCGGGCTGGAGCCTCAGAATCCCGGGCTTTCTAGAGTTAGAATTAGAAACAGCCTTCTGGCCTGGCCTTCACAACTTGGCAGCAGCCCCTCAACCTGTACCCAGAAGTGGTTCCCTGAGCTTCCCAGTCTTCTGGTCACCTGCCTTAGACACTGTCCCAATATTACATTCTAAACAAGTATCACTTGTGATGTCCTCATTGTTAGTCAGAATCAAGGGCGGGTCCAAGGTTAACTTCTAGGGGGTGAAAGGAAGCAGACAAGAAAAATGGAACTGGTGCTGATCCTTCAAATGATTCCTTAAACTCGAGACCTCTCCACTACCCACACAGGGGGCATGAGAAGGGCGGTGTAGTTAGTGGCTGGGGTTACATTTACTGCTGTCTTTCTAAATCCCAGGGAGGTGCACCCCTTTCTTCCTTTGCCCCTGTCGGAGAGTTCCATAACAGACGCGGAGCTATTCATCCGAATGTGCTATGACAGGATGTGTATTTGACACAGGGGCAAAGATGTGAAAAGTGTTTAACTCGACTCTGCACGGTTTTAAATGGCCCGAGTTCTTGCCCTGGAGAGGCAGCAGATGGCAGCAAAGTCGTGCCAAATTCCACTGCCTTGTCTGCAGCCACTTCCCTGGGTGAGGCTTTGTTCCCCACCTTCAGGTGCCTGTCAAGAAAAGGTGGGGGGTGGAGGTGGGCACTTACCTTTGACTCTTAACCACACTTTGCCCAGGAACCAAAGGAGTTTGGGTTTGTTTGTTTGTTTCTAAATGTAACTAGACTGCTTGGTTACTCATTATCATTCGCATTACTTCTCTAGAAATATTACTCATCTGTGCCAGAGGACGGAGGGGCAACTCACGTGTCTCGTTACCACAGAGGGAAGTCGGAGCTGTCCTGGTGCTCAGACTCGGGCAGTGGTCAGGTATGTCTTCTCCACCCCTCTACCTGGACACCGGCCTGGGCCTGAGATGTGAGCCCAGGAGTTGTTGCCCTGAGGTCATTTTTAAACAGAGACCTAACATACCCTCACGCCCG